TCATCTTCATCATGGTGAGTGTCATTCTTATTGATGTCAGAGGTGTGTGTGTGTGCTGGGAGTCTCTGAGAGTGTGAGGATGATCTGTGTGTTGAGGAGCTTATAAAGGAATAGCAGGGGGTATACATATTGAGCTCCACGTGCGACAGAGCCTCGCAGCATTACATCACCGCTACCTGTCCGGAAACACCTGGAGGACACTTAGATGGTATCACTCACAGGAAAGCCCTGCACTCATATGAATAAACTAGTTTAGTAACCTTTTAAACCAGGACGTTTTATATTCATTTCACTTTCCATTTTGACATTTTTATAAATACATTACAATAATACGAATTTGTAATAATGATATACATTATAATAATAAAATACAATATAATATATAATAATAATAATAATAATAATACATTACTTTTTAGATAAATAGTTCCCCAAAGCTGCAAAAACTAAATTTAATAATAATACATTGAAATGAAAGCTTTCATAACTGCAGTAATTATATTTGAGATGTTAGAGATGAATCTCAATTATATATTAGTAGCTTTAATGACTCTTATCTTTAATTAAATATAATCTGAAAACACCAGAGAGCCTGTGTGTTGCTGTGACTCTGAACGGACCGGCTGCTTCCTATCAGGTTTCACATCTGGGGTCAGAGGAAGTGAGATTGACCTTTACCTCTCTGGAGAAACAGCTGGACAAAGTTCCCAGAGCGTCTGCTTCTGTACCAGAGAAGCACTGAGCACACAGGCTGCGTGTCTGACTGGGAAACTCAGGGAGCGCGCAGGAAGCAGGAGACATGTCCAGCTTCCTTAATCTGTCCCAAGCATTGGCACAGTGGTCAAGTTGCAAAGAACCCACAACACACACACACAGATTCATTATTCATTAGGTTAAGGTATGGGTAAAAGTGAGCTGACACTGATGGATCTTCATTTTTTTATTCAACTGTGAAATTAATATTTAATTTACAATTTTTATTTTGTATTGAATGTATTAATTATTATTTAATTTACTGCAGTTGATACATTTTTGAAGTTATTTTTTTTTATTGTTTAATGGATTGTATTAAAGTTCTTTATTTTGTAAATCATGTATTATTATTATTATTATTATTATTATTATTATTATTATTATGCTTATTGTTATTATTATATTATTATTGTTATTATGTATTATTTATTATTATTATGTATTATTATTTTTATTAATTTAGGAGAGCTGGAGCTTTTTTATCCGTATGAGTAAGAGGCTGTAAACAATGAAGTCATTGAGTTACGAGTAAAATGACGACACCAGAAACCAGGTGGTATTTAAATACAAATAATGTTATCTGATATTTAAATATGTAATGTTTAAGATTAACCCTTTACTGGTTTGGGTTTTAAGATAAGACACGTCCAGTTACTGCTGAAGGGAAAGTGCTCTGACAGTAAATTAGAAAAGGGAAGCACTGATTGCAGATCTGTGACAGGAAACAGATTTAAATATAAACATTTCATTTGCACTTAATTACTAAAATATTGCAGATGTTACACGTCTTTATGACTTCTCTTCTAATCTATTTTAATCTAATAATACAATTAAAAATATTAGAATTGAATCAGAATGATAAATAAAAGCAGATAATAAAACAATCATTGAAGTAGGATACATTTAACCGTTCTGCTGGTCCCTGAAGGCAGCATCTCCCTGGTCCTACTGGTCCCTGAAGGCAGCATCTCCCTGGTCCTGCTGGTCCCTGAAGGCAGCATCTCCCTGGTCCTGCTGGTCCCTTAAGGCAGCATCTCCCTGGTCCTACTGGTCCCTGAAGGCAGCATCTCCCTGGTCCTACTGGTCCCTTAAGGCAGCATCTCCCTGGTCCTGCTGGTCCCTTAAGGCAGCATCTCCCTGGTCCTGCTGGTCCCTTAAGGCAGCATCTCCCTGGTCCTACTGGTCCCTGAAGGCAGCATCTCCCTGGTCCTGCTGGTCCCTGAAGGCCGCATCTCCCTGGTCCTACTGGTCCTTGAAGGCCGCATCTCCCTGGTCCTACTGGTCCTTGAAGGCAGCAACAATAAAATAGGTGAGGATTAACTCATACTAAATAAAAAAACTAAAGCCCAAACAAAACAACCAATAACTTGAGATAAATCAGAATGATATGTCATGTGAAGTGCATTTTTCAGGCATACTCCACTCACAGTCCTAATATTAAAATATTAAATATGTAATAGTCTCACAGTGTTTACCTCTACCTGCTGCTTTCATGAGACTCCCAGGTGTTTGCCAACAACATGTAGTAACAGATCAATACAAACACACCCTGGCCCTTTCTCAATTCTCTAATTCCCCTCCTCGACTCGCCTCCTCGACTCCTATCCTCGTGCCTTAGTCCCGCCCACGTTGCGAGCGGAGGAGTCGAGGAGGGGAACCGAGGATTTGAGGAGTCGAGGAGGAGGGGAAATGAGTGAAGTGAGAAAGGGCCCCTGTGTATGTTATGATCGTTACTCGCTCGGTGAGTTCACTGGTTCCTCTGCAGTCGCTGAAATCACAGAAACATTCCTCTTTTATTATTATATTGTATTTTATCACCTGTTTTATTACGCTTCAGGAGATTCTCTCAAAAGCCCACCTTGCCCGGTCGGTCACATGCAGATCTGTATTATGGCTGAAAGAACATTGAATGTGCTGGAAAGCCTCCTCTCTTGGTTTCGTGTAAGCTGAACTAAATTAAAGTAATATTCAGTTATAACATTATAGGCTTTATATCATGGTATTTTCTAATCACGTATTTGGTACATCTACGAGCACCCTTATCATGTATTTTAATGCATTTCAAAATGTATATATAGCACTTTACCATTTCATTTTGATCATTTATTTACTGTAACTTTTACCTTTATCACCTTGAATTTGCATTACTTCAAGCCTACCATAGCGAGTGCGTTCAGGTGCACACTTACGTGGTCGTAAAAACAGATTCTAATTCAAAATGTGTGGAGTAAAAAGTACAAATATCGACCTCTGAAGTCTTATAAAGTGTAATAAAATGCTATGATAAACTGAAAGGCCTAGATTAATACAAAAATGACATAAAAGTTCAATCAATACATTATATTTTAACAGAAAATGTAATATTTTACCTTTAACCTACAAACACTGCGGCTCTTGAACGCACCACTGTTTGACCCGGAAGCGTTTTTTTGTTGTTATTGTTTTTGTGAATGAAGCATGGGCTCCTGTGCGGGAAATAAGAATCAGATCACAATAAGAGGTCGGTGCAAACTTTATATTCATATGTACATCTCTCAGTATTTGTTGTTAGCATACTCTGCCAGAATGTGGAAGTTTGAGGCGCAAAAACGGATCAAATCTGCAGCAATAACTGTATGTGCGATGCTAATGTTAGCTTCAAATGCTAACTGTTAACAGTAACTTATTTACTGATACATATATTAATTAAAACCCTTTAACTGACGTGATTTGGAAAACAATAGCTACACGATTAGTGGTGTGTACATGCTTCAATATTGAATTCATTAACTCTTAACTTAAGGATTTTGCTAACAGTCTGCAGTAACGTTAGCTTCCGGTGCTAGCTACTGTTAGCCTAGCCAAAGCTAACAATACAACTAATTAAAATCAGTGAAAAGTAATCTTTTTATCAGACACTTCATAACCCTGTTAAAGCTGCTTTACAGACCAATATAATACAGAGTTACAGTCAAGATCAAAACAACACAATATTATTATAATACTGCAGTTATTATAAATTAAGAAGTACATAGAAAATAATATTTGTATAATATACTTGCAATTTCAAACACCTATTTCTCAGCATTATTGTTGCTTTCATTGGACTTTGACTTTATGTCATGGTGCAGACATACAAGTAAAACAAACATTTAAAAACACAGATAGAGAACAATTTAAGAAAACTATAAGAACATTAAAAAATATAGTCAAATAGAGCAACATGTAGCACTTATTATTTACATAGAAATAGAATGGAATAAAATATGGATTAAAATTCTGCAGTAATAATAAAAAAGAAAACAGATTGTGTAGCTTATGTGCATATGACCATAAAACCTTTGAATGTGGTCTCTCCCCTGCAGGACAGACTAAGCTGCACCCGCTATACATTACAAGTTAAGTTTGTTAAGTAATCGAGCTGGATTTTTTAAACATATTTACATTTTAGATGGATGTTTTTAATCATCTGTAACCTTATGATATTGTACTGCAGTTTTAAATGAGCCTGAAAATCTACACCTGGCACATTTATTAAAATGATAATGGTCATGTTTTTTAATGTGCGGTGACCCTTAGCGTTTCTAGCACTGACAGGTCTTTTTGCACTACTTTTACTTTTGTATTTGCTATTTTTGTATTCTATTATATATGTTGCGTTGTTGGAGGAACTCAGGTCAGAAGAATTTCAAAAACAGATATTGTGTAGTTATATGAACTTTCTAACTTTAATATTCCAATTACTTGTATATAGACTATTCTGCACTGTTTCTGTTATATTTTATTTTATTTACTTTTCATTGAGTCAAAGTCAACTTTAATGTCAATCTCAAAATATGTTTGTACACACAGAAACATCGAAATACTGTTTCCCACAGTCCTGAGGTATACAAAAAGCTCACACGTTAAAATACAAGAACTCAAAATAACCGTTTGCTTCAGTAAGCAGGATATATGCAACAAAAGATTATGTGCAAATGGGAGTGCAACAATGTTCATCAATCTCAAAATATGTTTGTACACACAGAAACATCGAAATACTGTTTCCCACAGTCCTGAGGTATACAAAAAGCTCACACGTTAAAATACAAGTGTGTGTGTGTGTGTGTGTGTGTGTGTGTGTGTGTGTGTGTGTGTGTGTGTGTGTGTGTGTGTGTGTGTGTGTGTGTGTGTGTGTCCAAGGGTTGAGCTTGGGAAAAAGAATAATAAATAACACTTTGCAGACGTTGGGAAGCACAGAGTAAGAATATTACAGAATGACACGGATCGTTTGCTGCTTCCACTTCGATGGAAACGCAGAAATACTTCCTCTTTCCTCAAAGGAAGTGACTGGATGTTTTGTTGTGAATCAGAATTACAGAAACTACTCGCCTGATAACGAGGGGTTAGCTTTGGCCAAGGGACAGTAAATAACATTTAAGAGCAGACGGGAATCACAGAAATCTTCCTTTTATTACAGAAATGTATTCGAGGAATGACCTGGTGACAAAGAAAACTGACTGATCAACGCTTCAAATTAAAAGCACCTGAAATGGTTCGAAATATGTAAAAATATAAAATAACTTATTGCATAATATTTTCCAAAATGCTTCAAATCCATATAAACTGGGATTTGCCAATTAAATACTAAAGGGGGTTGTGTTCATGTTGATTATCACATCTATTGATCAAATATTAAAAAAGTACTAATCGTAGGACTTGATGAATACTAACGAGTTTTTACTCTTTCTTTATATTTCTCTTCAGGGTCACGTGACCTCGTTCTTCGGACCCACGATGGTTCGTCACTCTTCGTTCCAGGCGAACACGGCCGACGACATCCGTCAGATCCACAGCCTGGAGACGGGGGTCCTCTTCCTCTCCAAGTGCAACCTGAAGTGCCACACCCGGGGGGGGCTCGTCATGTTCGACTACCCGTGAGTAGAGACTGTGAGATCTGAGGGTCAGGAGAGAGGGGGTTAACTCCTCTGCACAGATGCTGTGGATGCAATGTCTATTTATTTGATTTTTTGATTTATTATATTTTTTTCATTATTTATTTATAATTATATGATTATTTTTTTACTTTTAAATAATTGTTAAACTTTTTTTTTTAACTGATTTTAGTATTTTTTGACGTTATTTTTCTAACGTTATTTTTTTCGACGTTATTTTTTTTAACGTTTATTATTTTTATTTTTTTCTAGTTATAGAAGTTTATAATTATTGATGTGTGTGGCTGTAGCTTTTTTTGTACTTTTTAATAATTGTTGAACTTTTATTTTTAACTGATTTTAGTATTTTTTTACGTAATTTTTGACGCTATTTTTTTCGACGTTATTTTTTTGACGCTATTTTTTTTGACGTTATTATTTTTAACGTTTATTTTATTCATTTTTCTAGTTATAGAAGTTTATAATTATTGATGTGTGTGGTGGGTGTAGCTTTTTTTGTACTTTTGAATAATTGTTGAACTTTTTTTTTTTAACTGATGTTTGCATTTTTTTACATTATTTTTCTGACGTTATTTTTTCGATGTTATTTTTTTGACGTTATTATTTTTAACGTTTATTTTTTTTGTTTGTTCGAGTTATAGAAGTTTATAATTATTGATGTGTGTGGGTGTTGCTTTTTTTGTACTTTTTAATAATTGTTGAACTTTTCTTTTTAACTGATTTTAGTATTTTTTGACGTTATTTTTCTGACGTTATTTTTTTTATGTTATTTGTGTGTGTGTGTGTGTGTGTGTGTGTGTGTGTGTGTGTGTGTGTGTGTGTGTGTGTGTGTGTGTGTGTGTGTGTGTGTGTGTGTGTGTGTGTGTGTGTGTGTGTGTGTGTGTGTGTGTGTGTGTGTGTGTGTGTGTGTGTGTGTGTGTGTGTGTGTGTGTGTGCGTAGGATGGATGAGGGTGCTGATATGCACAGTCTCCTGATGACTGATAACAACACGGTGCTGATGGGAGGATTGCAGAACTACGCCGTGGAGTTCGACCTTAACGCCATGCAGGAAACCCAGAAGGTGACACTTTATTAATAAATATATTATACACACAGTTTGCAAGAAAACAACCTACATTTTATAATATAATGTGCACATTGTACTCAAACTTCTTTACAATTTATTGCACATTTCTACTTATTTTTTTAATCTTTATGCACATTTTTTATTTGTATTATTTATTACACATTTATACAAATATATATGTTATTTCTAAGTGGACTCATCTTGTCCTCTGCGTCTCTGATTGACAGTTCAACGTGGAAGTTCCTGGAGTCGCCATAATGCGCCAAACTGGTCGATTCTTCTTCTGTGGTCACACCTCTGGAAAGGTCAGCGCCACACGTATTGAAGCACTTTTTTGTCTTACTTTGACTTTAATTGAATATTTTCATTTTGTGCTGCTTCTAATCCACTGCATTTTGGAGGAAAACATTGCGCACTAAAAGTTACTAGCTGCTCTCCACATTTAAAAACTCATGACATCTGTTATATATGTGCAGTACTGCACTGTATACCCGTTTAAAAAAAAAAGCATCTCAAATATCGACAAACTACGACATTAAAAAGCCTTTTCATGTATTTGTAAGCAATCAAAGACGCTCCTATAATATTCCACAATAATCTAATTCTTTGAAAAGCTAACGTGCATAATAGCCTGACTCTGAACTCCCCAAATCAGATCACTCTGCGGGACCTGCGCAGCTTCAAGACGGAGCACGAGTTCGACGCGTTCTCCGGCAGCCTGTCGGACTTCGACGTGCACGGGAACCTCCTGGCAGCGTGCGGGTTCTCCAGCCGAGGGATGAACGGCCTGGCCTGCGACCGCTTCCTCATGGTGTTCGACCTGCGCATGATGAGGGCCGTGACCCCGCTGCAGGTGCACGTCGACCCCCTGTTCCTCCGCTTCATCCCCACGTACACCTCCCGCCTCGCCATCATCTCACAGACAGGTAACTCAAGAAGCTTCGTTTGTGAAATGCACAAAAACACAGAGTAGTTTTGGCAAGAACTACAACTAAATAAATAGAAATTAAAGTAATAAAATAAATAATAATTAAATAATCGGAAAGTTCACAAAAATACAATAAAATATATAGAAAAATATTAATGAATGAAATCAAAAAATATAAATTAATAAGAAAATATAAAACAAAAAATATAAATAAATACAGTACATCCTATCTTATTAAGTAGCCTGTAACCCCCCCTCCACTTCCTGTCTGCAGGTCAGTGTCAGTTCTGCGAGCCCACCGGCCTGGCCAACATGGCGGACATCTTCCACGTGAACGCGGGCGGCCAGGTGCTGATGAGCTTCGACGTGTCGTCCAGTAAGCAGGCGCTGGCGTTCGGGGACTCGGGGGGGATCGTGCACCTCTGGTCCGACGCGCCCGAGGTCTCCTTCAACGACTACAGCCGCGAGTCAGAGTTCGCTCTGCCGTGCATCGTGGACTCGCTGCCGCAGCTCGACTGGAACCACGACCTGCTGCCGCTGTCACTCATCCCCACGCCGCTCACCAGCACTGAGCAGCTGCTCTCTGATTGGTCCAGCGCCATGGCCACGCCCAGCCCCAGGTAACACACAACACACCTGGATACATCCACCACAACATCCACCTCAACATCCACCTGTGATGCATCCACCACAACATCTTGGGATTGATAGAAACGCTTAAACCAACAGAAATCAATACAACAAAAAATGTAAATAAAGGAATTAAATAAGAATAAAAATTACAATAAAAATTAAGAATACAGAAAATAAATAAAAATAAATAAAAGTAGAATAAAATAAAAAATAAGAAAAAATAGAATAAATTATACCAGCGCTGAGCAGCTGCTCTCTGATTGGTCCAACGCCATGGCCCCGCCCAGCCCCAGGTAACACACAACACACCTGTTTACATCCACCTCAAATGGGATCAAAAATGTTTAATTAAGTTATCTTTTACTCAAATTAAATAACAATGGGAATTAGAATACAATTTAAAAAAGGAATGAAAAATAAATAATAAAAATAGAATAAAAAAAAACATAATAAATATAATAAATGATACCAGTGCTGAGAAGCTGCTCTTTGATTGGTCCAATGGCATGGCCACGCCCAGCCCCAGGTAACACACAACACACACCTGTGTCCACCTCAACATAAGACAAATAATGAGGAACTTCCTTTGAGATCCTCGGCCAATAGGAAATCATTATTTTGCAATAGTCATGATTGAATCAAGTTCGATTATGACTTTGAGCTAGGGAGAAGTTATTTTGAGATACAAAGTATTACAAAATATATTTCAACTTAGTTTTGGCATCACTTGCAATGGATGGAGCTAGGGGGGTCAGGGGTCAACGTGAGCCGTGGGATCCAACATGTTTAATAAATAACAAGTGAAGGATCACTTTGGGATTGATAGAAACACTTAAAACAGAAGTCAATACAAAAAAAAAGGAATGAAAAAAGAATACAAATAAAGAAATTATAAAAATATAATAAAAAACAACATAGAATAAAAAAGCCACATTAGCACCTCTGTGTAATTTGATTTATTGCATCTTTATTATTTATATGACATTAATCTTCAACAGCAGTTTGAGGTAAAGTACGTTTATTTATGGAGGCGTGTGGTGCAGTGGATAGTTCGTTGGTGTTGGGATCAGGGGGTCTCAGGTTCAAACCCCACTGCAGTCAGCATGTCGTTGTGTCCCTGAGACACTTCACCCCAAAGTGCTCCTGTGGGGATTGTCCACAGTATTGAGTATGTTAGTCTCTTTGGATAAAAGTGTAGAACAAGTAACATGTGATGTGATTTATGGAGCACTTTCAGACGCAGAGGCAATTCAAAGTTTCTTACGTCATCATTAACACTTAACAGGAAGACAACCGAGAGGAACTGGAGCAGACTCATAAAAACCACGCATCAAAGAGATGATTTAAAAACAACATTGTAAATACAGCAGGTGCTAAAACAAGTGAAAAGGCTTCTGGGTAAGCAGCTGAAAAAAAGTTATGTTTTTAGCCTCGACTTAAAAGAACTCAGCGTTGGTGAAGACATCAGGGTTTCTGGAAGTTCATTCCCTTTGTGGGGAGCTGAAAACTAAAAGCAGCTTCAGCGTTTTATTTATTCATTCTTTTATTTAACAGGGACAGTGCACATTAATGAACATTTCTGTAAAGGTG